AAAGAAAGCTCTTAGCACAACTCTTAGACAGTTGAAGCTTCTGTAAAACCCTCCAGAATATCTCCAACGACACACTTAGAAACAGCACTTGGAAGTAGCACCAAGCTATATTAGACAAGCTAATGGAACCAGGCCTTATATAACTCCTAAAATCACCACTTAGGAATGTTTAACAATCTGAGAAAATTCTTCTTTATTTGGTAAACAACACAATTAATCCAGCAATCAACAGCAAGTAACTATTTACCAAATCAAATGCCTTATATACTCAACAGGAATCAAACCTTGGGCAATTCAGTAACCTTTTCCTACAGATGAATCTTACCTGTAACAGTAGAAAAGAAAGCTCTTAGCACAACTCTTAGACAGTTGAAGCTTCTGTAAAACCCTCCAGAATATCTCCAACTAGACACTTAGAAACAGCACTTGGAAGTAGCACCAAGCTATATTAGACAAGCTAATGAGACCAAGCCTTATATAACTCCTTAAATCACCGCCCACTAGGAATGTTTAACACCTGAGTAGGCCTCTGCTTATTTGCAAACAATAGCTAATTAACCAGCAATCAACAGCAAGTAACTAGCTTAATCAAATCAAATGCCTTATAATTACCAACAGAAATTCAAACCTTGGGCAATCAGTAACCTTTTCCTACAGATGAATCTTACCTGTAACAGTAGAAAAGAAAGCTCTTAGCACAACTCCTAGACAGTTGAAGCTTCTGTAAAACTCTCCAGAATATCTCCAACTACACACTTAGAAGCAACACTTGAAGTAAGTAATCAAGCTATATTATTTTTTACGAGACCAAGCCTTATATACCTCTAAATCACCGCCCACTAGAATAAGCTTAAACACCCGAGTAGGCCTCTGCTTACTTGGTAAACAATAGCTACTAACCGCAATCAACAAGTAACCAGCTTAATCAAATCAAATGCCTTATAATTACCAACAGGAATTCAAACCTTGGGCAATCAGTAAACCTTTCCTACAGATGAATCTTACCTGTAACAGTAGAAAAGAAAGCTCTTAGTATCAACTTTGCATTGCAGTTGAAGCTTTCCTGTAAAACTTCAGAATATCTCCAACTAGACACTTAGAAACTGCACTTGGAAGTAGCACCAAGCTATATTAGACAAGCTAATGAGACCAAGCCTTATATAACTCCTTAAATCACCACCCACTAGGAATGTTTAACACCTGAGTAGGCCTCTGCTTATTTGCAAACAATAGCTAATTAACCAGCAATCAACAGCAAGTAACTAGCTTAATCAAATCAAATGCCTTATAATTACCAACAGGAATTCAAACCTTGGGCAATCAGTAACCTTTTTCCTACAGATGAATCTTACCTGTAACAGTAGAAAAGAAAGCTCTTAGCACAACTTTTAGACAGTTGAAGCTTCTGTAAAACTCTCCAGAATATCTCCAACTAGACACTTAGAAACAGCACTTGGAAGTAGCACCAAGCTATATTAGACAAGCTAATGAGACCAAGCCTTATATAACCCCTTAAATCACCGCCCACTAGGAATGTTTAACACCTGAGTAGGCCTCTGCTTATTTGCAAACAATAGCTAATTAACCAGCAATCAACAGCAAGTAACTAGCTTAATCAAATCAAATGCCTTATAATTACCAACAGGAATTCAAACCTTGGGCAATCAGTAACCTTTTCCTACAGATGAATCTTACCAACAGGAATTCAAACCTTGGGCAATCAGTAACCTACACACTGACAGAACCACCCTGACATATGGATACCTATATTCACACTGATACATACACACATCCTAACACACAGATACACACACTGAAACATACACACACACGCAGATACACATCCTGACAATCAGATACTCACTGATTCATACACACAGCCTGACACACACCCTGAAACACTCAGATACACACCCGGATACTCACATACATATATACACAGACTGACACACACATCCTCCAGTCCCTCTTCTTACTCCTCATGTGCCTCCTCTACCTGTAGCTGGGAGGAAGTGATCTGAATTCAGTCCAATCCAGGCACTTGTTAAAGGGCCTCAGCATCTGACCAGACCCCTGTTCAGACCAGACCCCTGTTCAGTGATACCTACTAGGTGGCTCTAAGTGCATTGTCCACCAGATGTGCCCCCTCAGTTATGGGCCTTGGTGCCACTGCATCGGCTGTAGTTCTGCAACTGCTTGTGCATCTTCCATTCTACCTTTGTGTTTCTGTTCATATTTTCAGGTGATTCAGATTCTACTTGTAAATGTGCGACAAATGTTGAATGGCAGTGCAGTTGCTATTAGACTTAATCACTAAAGTGAGAATTCAAAGTGAGTTTCAAATTTATGGGCAAAATAGCTAAACTGCAAAGATTCTCTAAATCAGCTCTTCTTCCATCTTGGCTATTTTGGCCTTAAAGGAACACTATAGTCACCTAAATTACTTTAGCTAAATAAAGCTCTTTTAGTGTATAGATCATTCCCCTGCAATTTCACTGCTCAATTCACTGTCATTTAGGAGTTAAATCACTTTGTTTCTTTTTATGCAGCCCTAGCCACACCTCCCCTGGCTATGACTGACAGAGCCTGCATGAAAGAAAACTGGTTTCACTTTCAAACAGATGTAATTTACCTTAAATAATTGTATCTCAATCTCTAAATTGAACTTTAATCACATACAGGAGGCTCTTGCAGGATCTAGCAAGCTATTAACATAGCAGGGGATAAGAACATCTTAATTAAACAGAACTTGCAATAAAGAAAGCCTAAATAGGCTCTCTTTACAGGAAGTGTTTATGGAAGGCTGTGCAAGTCACATGCAGGGAGGTGTGACTAGGGTTCATAAACAAAGGGATTTAACTCCTAAATGGCAGAGGATTGAGCAGTGAGGCTGCAGGAGCGTGTTCTATACACCAAAACTGCTTCATTAAGCTAAAGTTGTTCAGGTGACTATAGTGTCCCTTTAAAGGGTTACTCCAAGTCCCCTTTCGGAGTGGTGGGAGATTTTTTTTGGCGTAATACACCTTATTTTGCACTATAAAGTAGGGCTCCCCCTCTAGATTTGAAGGATGACCTCAAAATTTAAAGTGTTTACTTAACTGGAATTCAGCACTAGGTGAAGCTCCCGGTGCTGACTTCCACACCTTCTCAAAGAGAAGTCTCTAATTGGACCATTTCACAGGCTTAGAGCCCACACGTGCAATCTGAGCGCATTCCTTCCTGATCGAGAGAAGGAAGGGCTAGAGGGAGAATTTATTTACATTTTTTTTAAAGTAGCAGAAGGAGGCAGCATTCACAGGGTGCGAGAGGGCGCTCACAGCAGGGGAGGGAGTGGAAAACAAGCACCTGCAAGGGGAAAATGATCATGTCTGTTACCAGCGTGACAACGGATGCAAAATATGCGCAGAACTGACATTGGTAGCCTGGAGTTCTTTTAATTAGCCTCCAGCACACAATTAACAATATCTCTGTATGTGCCCTGTTTCAAGCTGAATCAATGCGCATACTGACTACTTCTACCATAACCACGTCAAATCACTGAAGTGGTCATGGGGGTTGGAGTAACTCTTCAATTCTGAAATTTACTTTGAATTCTCACTACAATGAATAACCATGTATGTGTTTATTTGTAATAGTATGGCATCACAACTAGGGTCACAATATTTTCTTTAGGAATTGAAATATCCTGTTTTGGATAGGTCAAGCACTAGCTCTGCATGGTCGCAGATCTATTGCTTGACCTGTCCCTTTGACCTACAAATCAGTTACTTGAAGGAAGTGTGTTATTCTCTCCAGGTGTATAAAGACTTTGTCTAATTAGGTTTTCTGACTGAGGTTTCCTGATTAAATGATGTTGCTCTCTTTGCAGGCAAATGCAACCTTTGAGCAGCTGGAACGTCTCAGAGAAATGGGTAAATCCTGGGAAGAAGTAGGACCCCAGCTATGGAACTTTCTGCATAATAGTGTCCAAATGAATGTCGTCCGGGTATGTCAATCCCACATTTAAAAGGCTGAATTTAGGTGTTATGAAGCATGGGGTTGCAAGAAATATTCAATTGTATAGTGAGCACAAATCTTATCAATTTAGTGACTTTATGGGGTCCAACATTTGCAGCCAAATACACAAGAACATGCGTAGCAGATGGTATCTACCATGCGTAGTTGAATACCTGAAAATCAGATAAGCTCCAAAGTGCTTTAGAAAACTGATAAACAGATAAACAAATATGGCCTAAATTGTATCACAATTTCACAGTTGGTGTTTCCAAATAATGCGACACATTAAACAAAAAAAAAACAGAGGGTCATAGTGGAGTTTGTTTTAGTAAATGACAACTTTAAATGCTTGGATTTTTTACCTCTTTACCATTAGTTTCCCATTAAGTAGACCAGAAATTAGTGACAATCAGGCCTCCTTGTAGGGGTTGTATTGTATTGGGACATAGACAATGTAGATTAAAAATACAAAGTAAGTCTTCATATGGCTTTAAAACATGTCCATTCAATTGCCTTTAGGACACCATCAGAAACCCAACTGTAAAGGATTTCCTCAATAGGCAACTTGGAGATGATGGCTTGAGTGCTGATGACGTTATTAACTTCCTTTACAATGGCAATCCAGACTCCCGCTCAGCTAATCAAGCAAACTTTGACTGGAGAAATGTATTCAATTTCACTGACGAAACCATACGTCTTTTTAACAACTACATGGAGGTAAGCAATTACTGGTTTACATGTATACAGTGTATCCACATATACACAACATAGCTCTGGATTGGGGGCCTTGTGGTCCTGGTGCTGACAATTACACTGGGTTTAAATACAAAATGTGTTCTTGTGTTTCTGGTCTTATGTGTCTGACATCTATAAG